AGCATGCCAAACAGCTGGCCGGCGGAGCGCGTTGCTGCATGGTAGGATGTGACGCTTCCACTTTGCGTCCTGTCTGGGTGGACACAACGCTGAGTCTTCCCATAATACCCGCACAGCGAGGTTCAAGCGCTCTGACGACGTGCCTGATGCCCTAAGCTCGGGAAGCTTCAGAAAGCTAGGTGCTATGCCGCACTCTGCGCGCAGAATGCCCGACTGGCCGCTTCAAAAGGTCAGACAAACCTATGTCGGGAGCAACCGCATCCGGCCAGAACGATACGAGCAGCGATTTTCCAAGAGGCATCGACAGCCACGCAACCACGACTCGCCGGCAGGACTGGTTTTCGGTCCGGGCGCAAAGCATGCCAAACAGCTGGCCGGCGGACCGCGTTGCTGCATGGTAGGATGTGACGCTTCCACTTTGCGTCCTGTCTGGGTAGACACAACGTTGAGTCTTCCCATGCAATTCGCAGCATATGCGAAGTTGAGATGCTGGTCTTTACGCTCCTCCGGACAAGCATACTTCCCGGCTGGTTCGTTGTGAGCAACTTGCGAGCTTCTTACTTCGAAGAGCCGTGCACTTGCTTCGGACAGCTCGTGATACAGGCCTTAGCGCCGTCCGTTGTCTAACCCTGAACCCTAAACTCTAGACCCTTGTCTCACCCATGTGAACATTCTAGAACTTTCTGGGAGCCTGAGCGCTGTCCGTTGTCTCAGCCATGTGAACATCCTGGAACTCCCGGGGAGCTTCCTGCAGCCTAGCACGGGAGGGCTCAGAGTCCTTACCTGGGCCTTACGAGCCGCGCTCAAGAGTGGGTTTAGGGTTTAGGGTTTAGGGTTTAGAGTTTAGGGTTTAGGGTCTTCTTGCAGACTCTCTGCCTAAAGCGGCCAAATCGGCACCGCGAATGCCAAGTAGGAACAGCAAACGACTCATGAGCAAATGAAATGCGTAGCACGAGCCCATGTGGTGCACGGCCCCTTGCCAGCTCGCGCAAATCTGGCAGAAGCAGCGATGTCACGTAGCCGGCCATGCTTGGCTCGCGGTCGCCACGGCCGAGATGGAGGAGCTACCAAGCAACCGAAGTGACCAAGCTGGAAGGCACATGAAGGGCTCTGAATGCAGCACACTCGCAGGGTGATGCCTGTGCTGCGGTGCAAGAAAGGATTGGGTCACACCGATCTCCGACAGGACAGTCCTCTCGCCAGTGCTCCGATATGGACCACGGCCAGCTAGGCAAGGGACGCCCCATCCAGCACATGGAGAGTGCCTGTCTGCAAAGCCCACACGGCTTGTATCTGGCATTAAGCGCTGAACCGATGGGAGGAGCTGGGCAGCTGGCTAGCCAAGCGTAAAACATCTTACGACAAGGGTCGGCAGAACAAACAGGTCGGACTCGTGCGACCGGCAGTTCTGCGCCGCACAGCATGTGGCCGCTGTCTCACAAGCGAATCTGTAGCGTCGAGCGGGACTGGTAGAAGGACAGGAAGGACCATTGGCGATCGAGTGTCGAAGCAGCTGAAGGCCGTGTCATGAAGGGCTCTGAATGCAGCACACTCGCAGGGTGATGCCTGTGCTGCGGTGCAAGAAAGGATTGGGTCACACCGATCTCCGATAGGACAGTCCTCTCGCCAGTGCTCCGATATGGACCACGGCCAGCTAGGCAAGGGACGCCCCATCCAGCACATGGAGAGTGCCTGTCTGCAAAGCCCACACGGCTTGTATCTGGCATTAAGCACTGAACCGATGGGAGGAGCTGGGCAGCTGGCTAGCCAAGCGTAAAACATCTTACGACAAGGGTCGGCAGAACAAACAGGTCGGACTCGTGCGACGGGCAGTTCTGCGCCGCACAGCATGTGGCCGCTGTCTCACAAGCGAATCTGTAGCGTCGAGCGGGACTGGTAGAAGGACAGGAAGGACCATTGGCGATCGAGTGTCGAAGCAGCTGAAGGCCGTGTCATGAAGGGCTCTGAATGCAGCACACTCGCAGGGTGATGCCTGTGCTGCGGTGCAAGAAAGGATTGGGTCACACCGATCTCCGATAGGACAGTCCTCTCGCCAGTGCTTCGATATGTATGGACCACGGCCAGCTAGGCAAGGGACGCCCCATCCAGAACACGGAGGGCGCGCAACCCCATGATCACGGGCAGAGTCCCGTGTCGAGGCCTGCAGCGGCTCTCATCTGACAACTATGCTGTCTCCACACACACATGCACTTAACATCTCTCGCCGGAAAGGACATGCAGTCGTGGTTTCCGGGCGCACAGAATGCAATTTGTCTGGTATCTCAACTGCCACCGCCATGCTGGTGGAGACGAACGTGACTCTGACAATTCGGCGTTTGTTATACCTTCTCCTGTCGGTACAGTGGAACTAGCTGTCTACAGTGCAGAGAACCTACGAATTGGCCGTCAGAATTCAGGTGAGGTGTGCCCCAAATTTGCTGGCACCACGCATTTGCTGGACAGCGTTGGGTATTGTTGAGCAAGTCTGGGCGTGCAGAATGCATCCGCCGAGTTTCTCGATAACCAGTCGTATCAAAGCCTGCCTGGCACATCTGGCTAACACAAGGCGCAAGAGGACAACCACCACACGCATGCGACTAACTAGATTGTGCTCACGATGCAAGCTGTCCCATCGACCCCATGACTGGCTTTCTCTCGCGGTCACCTCTGTGAAATGGCCTGCACAGGTGCGACTGCAGTGCTGCCGCAGTGTGAAAGCGAGGTCGCGGCGCACGGCAAAGGCAGAAAAAGCAGAAAAAGCAAAATCGTGATTGCTTCGCCCTCGTCCTGCCTGAGGCTGCGTGCACACTACACTGGCGTCTAAGTCACAGCACAACCTGCAAGGCACAACCTGGACCCGAAGGCCGGACTTGCTCCCACTTCGTTGGACCTCCTTGGACCGCGTTGAAGAATTCTGGGCTTGCAGAAAGCACCCGCCGGATGTCTCGATAACCAGTCGCCTCAGAGCCTGCCTGGCGCGTCTGGTTAACAAAAGGCGCATCAGGTCAGCCGCCAAACATGAACAGCTAACTTACACAAGACCTGGAGTGCTCATGATGAAAGCTGTAGGTCTTCTCTCCCTTCACTGGCTTGCTGTCTGGGGCCACCGCAATGAACTGGCCTCTTCTGCTGCAGCTCTTGGCTGCACAGGCGCGACTCCAGCGCTGCCTTCGTCTGAAAGCCGGTCGAGCTGCAAGGCAAAGGCAGGCCTTGCAGGCCAGGCAACATCGCACTCGAGCTGCAGGCGGCGCTAAGATGATTTCGGCCAGAGTCCTGCGCGAGGCCTGCACCCGCCTGTCAGCTCCTCGCGCTAGGCCGGCTCGACACATTCGCTGAACGGCTTCGGACAGCTGTGGGATTTCTGGGCGTGCGCAAAACAGCCGCCTGGTCACGCGATGTCCAGAGGCAGCAGAGCCGAGTCGAAGTTTCCTCTGACTCCGAGGAGCTGAGTCCATCTTCGTCTCTCGACGCCCGAAACTAACAAGACATCGGCCACATGATATATGTAGTCCAGCATCCTCTACCTCTATACCATACAAGTAGAAGTCACTGCTTGAGAGGTTGCCGACGAAGTTCAAGCCAGTTCTGATACCACGACTGCGACGGGATGTGATGTTTGCAGGTACCCGGAAGAGTGCAGTCGAAGCCTTAGGATGCACCAATCGCGAACTCTGCGCGATATGATGTGGAGTACTGCATGGATGCAGCAAGCGCTCCATCGACTTCTTCAACGGCGACATTTCTGCTTCCACCAATAAGTGACCGAGATCCTCATGTCATGCTCTCGCCCCTGACAGTCCTAGCAAGCAGTGTGTGACGAGCTCCTTGTGCAGGGAAGATTTCGACAGGAGCACACGGACTTCTCAAACAGGGTCGTGGCTTGCACGAGCAAGCCGGAGCTACTCGTAAATGCCGACCAAAGGACCGCTGCACGGAGTGCTTCAGCACCGACTTCTTTAACGGCATGTTAGAAGACGACTTTCGCGCTTCCATCCACCACGGCGATGTTTGATCTCGATCTACTTGGCTTGGACGCGGGTAGATGTGGCAAAAGGAATGCCAGGGGAGGGGCACCAAAAAGGATGAGTGAACTGAGCAGGCTCCTCCCGTTCAGGAGCGCCTTAGCCATTCCGAGCTCAGCATTTTGGGGTTTAGGGTTTAGGGTTTAGGGCAAAGAAGGATCCCTAAACCCTACACCTCGGCATGCGCGAGCTCAGCGCGAGCTCTCTCGAGACCCGAGCCCGACCCTGGCCCAAGCGAGCTTTAGGGGACGACGAGCAAAAAGTGGCAAGGTGAGAAGCGGCAAAGAAAGCAAAGCTGCATCAATGTCTTGCGGAACACCACGGTTTTGCATCTCAGCCCGCCCCTGCTGGCCTAGAACGCTGCTCCCGGAATGAAAACTTCCTCAAGGACAGGCAAACCACTTGAGCTGCCGGCAACTCCTGCCAGAACATGGGCACGGAATATCTCCTCGACCTTTGCATCTGGTCCACCAAAGACTCGGAGCGGGAGCATCTGCCGTTCTGCTGCTCTACGTTCACTCTACTTCTTGGATTACCGTGGCCGTCTCTACATGTTGGAGGCAACCGGTCGATGTGCTGCACCAAAGGACAAAAGCGCCAGCGGAAATATCCACGTCCGGCTGCGCCCGTGTTCAGGGTCCTGCCTTCCTCAAAGCCACTTCTGTCGAGTTCTGCAGGTTCCGTTTGGACCCATGGTACACGACTTGAGGGGCGGATCGTGGGCCAGGGCCCTTTAAAAAGGGTTTAGGGTTTAGGGTTTAGGGTTTAGGGTTTAGGGTTTAGGGCGCCCGTCTGGCCACCACTAGCCAAAGGCCATGTGCGGAATAATTCCCAAGGAAACCCTAGCAGGAAACCGGCGGAATCTAGAGCAGAAGAGCTCCCGACGAGTCTTGGAACCAAAACGGCAGGGTCGTGGGGGGACACAGCAACAGAACGTCACGCCCTGCGCCTCAAGGAGCCAGGTGCAAAACTCTCAACAGCTTAACAGCTTCGGACCTGCATTAATAATTACCTGTACTATCAAGGCGGAGTTCCTTATTATGCCGATAGTATAATATACCGCTGGGTTCAGGGCGAATGCAAGCGACCTCTCCAAGTCTCCGGCGAGGAGTCACGGAGTCAGAGAGCACGAGGAGGGGAGGAGATTTGTCCTCACGTGCTGCCTGCGCCTGTCATTCAGTGTCTATAACGATCGACGAGGCACAAGCTAGCTGATGCAGATTCCTACAACCTGCTAGTTCACTTCTACTTTTAGCCTTCGCGGAGCCTCGCACTTGACATTTGCCTTCGTGCCAGCGGAGGCGGCGTTTTCAAGGATGTCCCACTGCAGTTGCTTTCAGCTCCACGACGCCCGTGGAAGCGAACGCAAGAGCCTCCGGAAGGTCGCCGTGACTAGAGCTCCTGCCAGCGCCGCAGGGCCGACGCGCTGTGCTGCCCCTCTCTCTCCCTCTTTATATTCGAGCCCGAGCCTCAGAGCCGTTGGCTACGGTTTTAGGCTACTTTCCTATGACAAAGCGAGAAGGCCAGGAGCGGATAAGGGGGACGGGGACTCGCGGATCTCGCCTGGGTCGCCGGAAGTCTCAGGACCGAGGAGTGCCCTTTCGGAGGGGTCGCCATCATCACGGAAGGCCACAGTGACAGAGACCAGCTCTTGCGAACTTCAAGCAAGGCCTCCGCAGGCCTCTTTTCGCTGATCTGAGAAAGCGAATCACGACGGCCAGCCGGCTTGCGAGACGAGCATGAAGAGTTCTGACGGCCACAACACACCCGACGGTGAGGTCGTTGCCGGCAATCCAACTGTGCTCATCTGCTGCACAGCTTCCGAGTTGGCCGCACCATCAGAGGCGACACCTTGGCCGGACGAACAGCGACACCCGTGGGCAGAGAGGAGTCAGATGCACTGAGCCGCCTGAGCCGCCACGCATCAGAGGGACAGAGCGAAAGGGATCGACTAACTCATCTCCGGCGCGCAGTCTTGAGCGTCCCATCGACCAGCCACGGTTTCAGCGTCTACGTCACAAGTTTTGGGGATCCTCCGCCTTGATAACTTGCCCCGGAGATCGCCGTTCAATCATGTAATCACCTTGCCGCCTCAAGCCACCTTCGTCAGATCACCTCTCGCACAGCGGTCACGCTATGCCCAACGCGGGCCCACACGAAGTCGCTTAGCATCCTTCAGGCCTGCAGATTAGCTTAGCCGTCCGTCGTGCTGTTAGTTGAAGAGCAACACTCACCGTCGCTTTGCAAGCTTTCACGACTAAGCCGAGCAGGCTCCAACTCCCAGATGCGAGGGTGTGGGACAGTCACGCCGCGAAGTGCATGGTAGTTCTGAGACGCGCAAAGAGCCCGTTCAGGGGCCCCGCTCACCGGCAATCCGTTCACACTAGCTTGCTCGCACCACGGCAGGCAGGGCAATTCGGCGCATCACACCAAGAGAAGCCAAAATGGAGAGCACAATCAACTTGCCCTGCCTCGGTGATGAAAGGCACTTGATTGTCAGGTGAAGCAAACATGGATGGAGCACTGGGTGCACGAGTCAAACAGACGGATCCTACCTCCCTTGCGCCGTAGTTGCCAGCGTGGGATGCCCCAAAAAAAGACCGATCTCGTTGACAGGCGAGCCGCAACCGGGACTGCTCCTGCAACAGATCGGAGATGTAGTGGCGAATGCCGACATTCAAGAGCCGGAGCGGCCAGGACATGAAACTTCGATATCGCCTCTCTGCAGACAGGTAGCACAGGATGCGGAGAGCACGGAAAGCAACACCGCAAATGATTCCATATGGTCTGGTAGGGACTACTGCTAGCTTAAGTAATCTGAGGAAATTCACTCACCCCTGTTCTTTGCCATTTGGTCGCGGCAACACGTTGCCTGCCTTCCTGCGAGGGTTCGTTGCCGTCTGATGCCGATGTTCCCGCCAAGCGACGAAATTGCAAATGAGGCATGGCGTGCATGCGACGATATTGGTAGACCCGACTACTGCTAAGATGGCAAGAAAGAAGATGTGAGCAAAGGCAGAATGCAGTGTCAGCGAGGTCCTGCAGCGGATCCCTGTGCAAAACGGCGCACAACATGGAGAGTCGGGAGTTCAAAGCAGAGTGCGAGATGCTCTGCCAGGGGAACATCCGCTCGAGGCCATAATTGCCGAAACGCCGCATCTTCAATCACTACGGTGTGTCGCAGGTCAGGTCTTGTCCGAACGACTTCATGACATGACACGAATTCGCGGGTGGGAGATGTTCGAATCTTCGGAGACCGGGCGTCCGCGCCCGCGAAGCCGAGGTCAGGAACCTTGTCTGTGATTGCGTTTCTTTGCATGCACGAGGACTGTACATGATGGCCGGGAATAAGCCTGCGCGGGAAATTGAAAAACACATCTTCTCAGGCTTCATACACTGCCAATAAATTGCTCCTCGTCACATAGACCCATATTTTCGCGACGCTTTGCACGACAGGAGGCCGGGCCTTTCCGGACCCCTAGGGCCATAGGGATCGCCCACTTGCCTCCGTTGCGACAATGCAGCACGATGCCTTCCCGGATCTCTGGGACGGCCCGTGCGTCTCGTTAAATCAAAGAAGCTTCCTGCTCAGCCCGAACTGCAGGAAAAGTGGCTGGCGCTTGATGACACGTTGGCAGCCAGCCCTACCGAGGCTTCGGGAGGTTGCATTGACTTCCAAAACCTGCTCTAAGAAGTGTGATTGCTCGGCACAAGGCACCCACTGTAACAGCGGGAGCATGGCATCGAAGCCACTTCTACTCGGGAGGCGGCACGAACAACGCCGCTTCTGCAAGAGTTTCTGCGGAGCTGAGGTGAGGAGAGGATGGCAAGATTGCAGCAAAGATAGACAAAACAACAACCCATGCGTACACGTCTAGGAAAGGCTTGTCACAGAGGCATCTCACAGGTCTCCGAATCCGACGAAATGTGACACTGACAATTTGCAAACTTGGATGGCTGGGGCGACCGCACCAAGTGGTATTGGGGTGGCATCGTCTGGAGCATAAGCACAAGATTGCTGCAGCTCATACTCACTCAGGCAGAAAGTCTGAGCGTATCGCTCCAAGGAAGAGCTCGCACAGAAGCACCTCTACGACAAGAGCGAATGCACGCCATTGCACTGCTGCCGAGTTGTTTGGCAAGTTGCATGGGCTGAGCGAGCACAGCGTGTGTCTGCTATGGAAACG